AAAGGTGTTACCGGTGGAGTTTAAAGTATCGTAAAACGACGGCTGTTGCGTCGACATTCGATAAGGACTGATGAAAGAGCCAATCAACTTTCGAGAGATGTAGGCTTAGATCGGGGATCCCATCGACAAAATCACTTTGAAAACTAGGTAGAAATCACCCAATACTATGATCTGATCAGCTCAACCTAAAGCAGAAACCACAGCATGAATGACAGAAAGGTGGTTCAAATAAACAACGCCATCAGATCTAGGAGGAATATAAGAACAGGTCAAAAAGATAAATGCCGTTCCAATGAGTTACGCCTGGTTTAATATCATTTGGATAAAAAGAAGATCCAAACGAGAAGGAAAGTGTGAGTCGCTTCTATGGACGCGACTCTACTTATATATACAGTCCGTATAATCATTTTTGAGCTTATGTTTTATATAGAATTTAAAAACATTTTACATTTAAAATTTTTTTGCTGCATCAGTTATCTACATCTACATCTACAATGTCGATTCCACATCTTCACAGCCAGTGGGGTGGCTTCTTCTTCATTCTGGCTATAATTATGATCCGATCCGATTCAGATTCAGCAATCTGGTAGATATGGTCATTCTCTACGCTACTGCATTTTCAGTGTTATCGTATCTTTAAAATTGTGCCTGCCACAGATCTTCGTTCTTTGTGTGGGCGGAAGGGGGTGTTGCGAAATTTCGAAATGCACTTGTAACAGTGTGATATCACATGAGTCTCGAAACAAAACTTGGTTGCTCTAGCTCTTATAGTCTCTGAGATCTAGGCGCTCATCAAGACGGACAGACGGACGGACACGGCTATATATCGACTCGTCTGATCAATACTTTATGTACTTTATTGGGTCGGAAACGTTTCCTTCTCTGCGTTGCACATATCCACTTTTACCGCAAATACAATATACATACCACTTAACTCTTTTTTGAGTACGGGTATAAAAATGCTGGATTATTTTGTTTTGCAAATCTTTGCATCAACGAACATATTAGAGAGTCAAAATATTGCAATAATACAGTAGCGGACATTGAAATGTGGACACTCATGTTAGTTAACTTTAAGCCAATGGCGCAAATTCAAAAACATCTAAGTCAGTCGGGAAATATTTTAATTGCATAGATACATTCATTAGCTGTTAATTGATGGTTTGTTTTCATTTCAAAAAGAAAAAGATTTCAACAAAAAATTAAAAATGTAAAAAATGTCGGAAAAAAACGAAGTCTGAAAGGCAGCCATTTTATGTTTGCGGTCAAAAACTTTTAGTTTTGGCGCTATTAGTATCTCTCTCTGGTACCGCTGTAAATGGAGGATTTTATCTTTTTGGTTTCTCTTGTGTACTTCGAGCGTACTTATTGAAATCGCAACGCATTTGACAACCTCAGTGGATTCCATATATGTATATTTAATTAACTCTCGTTCATCAGCTGTAGATCTACGTGTGCGAGGTCGCGTAAGCTAATTCGGTATAGAGGCCAAACGGGTCCGCTGCGCAAAAAAAGCTTTTACACATATAAAATAATATTTAAAAGGCATGTACAACAAAATTTCGGGAAAATTTAGACATTCAGTCAAGTCAAAGTTGACAAAAAAAACAAACAAAAAAATCAGATGGTTTGGAAAATAAATATTTTTTGCGAACTGTATTTGCAATGTACAAAATTGGCATTGAATATTGATATTAATGAATACACCTAGAAATAGAGACCAAAAAGAGGATCATACGCTACACAGTTTACTTTTAAATCTACCTGAAAGATGCAGTATATCAATCAAAGTTGAATAGATTTTAGAACACTAAATACATTTTCAGATGAGTGTATTAATTTTATATAAAGGCCTAGGCCCCACTGTGCGTCGTATATACGGAGCATGGGAAAACATCTCGGGCAGCGCAATCGGCACATGCACAGTGTAAAAACTTCGTGTGGCTTCGGGCTATGCACAAACGGCTTCATATTCTGCTCGGATGCTGCAGAGGCAAATAACATGAATCAATTTGCTTTCAGACAAACAAGACTTCATGATTTTTTCTAAGCAAATTATATTTTACACTGAAAAAAATGTTTAACAAACTGTGGCAACTTCCTGCAAGGGAAGATCTTTTTCTCTTTTGAAAATATGAATATGCGCAATGCTTGTTTTAATTATTATGCCTTAGGTTTCTGATAGCATTTTAATGTTTTCTCTGAATATTCTTTCTTTTGTTTGCGCAAAACATTAGCTTTATCTGAATTCATTTTTTTCAGTGCGTTTTTGCCTTTGTGTCTGTTTTCTTGGCACTCATGCGCGCTAAAACATGTGAGTTGTTGCGTGCCGACCCCTGCTCTATTGCCCCCAATGAATTACACTCCGGTAGATATGTATATCTCGCTCACTCCGCCAGAGGGCGCACACAGGTCGAGGAAGTGTGTGTGAGCGAAATCCTGTAGGGAACATTGCACATTGGTATCTTCATTCTGGCTATAATACAGATCCCATTTGATCCAAATTCTGCAGTCAAGGAGATATGAGCATTCTGTATGATTCTCCGTTTTTTCGTACCTTCTAAATTGTAGATGCCACACTCTTCCCTCTGGGTGTACTCTTAATCAAAATAACACTTATCTAGTCGCAAACTGCACATTTTTCACTCTCAGAATGTTTTGTTCATCTAAGTACTTGGCTGCTTGTATGGAGATCTGCGTGATTGCAAAAGTAATTATAGTAGCTTCGACCATCTTATTTGTACATAAATATACATATGTATACTACCAAATAATAAAATAAAATGAAACGCTTATTTGTTTACAATTTCTGTATTTTTCATATATTTCTGGTTTTTGTTTGTTTAAAATTTATTTTGAGTCATTGACTCGGTCTTTTATTTGTTCAAAATTGTTTATATACTCATGCTCGGGCCACTCGTAGCAATTATTCATTTTGGGTCGATCGTCCAAATTAACGTCGTTCTCGTTCCCGCGCGTGTTCTTCTTTTCCATGCAAATGTAACATATGAACATATACCATATGAACCATACACATATACTATGTGTACATGTGTATGCATTTACCTTAAACTTTAGCTCGAGCAATATTTCCCCTTAGAGCTTTTCTTGTTTGCTCTTCGTGTTTCCTATTGTATTTTAAATTTATTATTTTTGCATGCTGAAAATAATTTTCGTAGCTCTCAATCTACAATCAATCAAAGGCCAGTGTTTGAGTATGTTCGTATATCTCGTAGTACTCCAAGTCGTGTGTATATCTTTTTTTCATTTACATGTAGGTATGTAAATATGTATGTAACTTCCCCTACATTTGCGTGAACAAATTAAGGTAGATTTGGGTATTTTCGGTACATTGAAACACAATATATTCTTCTTGACGAGGGGATGGATGCATGTGATGGTAACTCATGTGGATCGATTTCGATTGGGTTTGGGGTCTTGGGCTTGTGACAATTTTCTTAGAGCTTATTTTTGTCCATGCATGTATGTATGTATGTATGTATTTCATAAACATCCAGTAAATATCCATATGCATGTTTACATGCCTGCCCATGTGCATATGTATATGTACTTATGTATATGCTCACATATGTATGTAGGGCTTTGCTCTCGCTCTAATTCATTTTTCGTTTCGCTGCATTGTTATTATATTACTATATTACTATATTACTATATTCGTATTAATATATGTATGTATATGTACATAAGTATATGCAAATCGCGCTGCTCTTTCTAGTCAATTCTAGTGATGGAATCTTCACGTGGATAAACAAATAACAAAAACCGAACTGCCCAAACTGCACTTTGGTTAACGTCTATCATTCATCGTTAGATGCTAATCGTCCCTTATTGTTTATGTGTGTTTCTATTTGAGTAGACTTATGTACGTACGTATACCTACATACTCGTATATGACTACATTTGTTCGTTATGCGCCCCCTCATATTCGTCTCCGTGCTTAGCCCCAATCCTGTTGACCTTTCTAGCTGGCCCACAATATATCTTTCTCATTCTAGCGCTCTCACTTTATTGCGTTGTCTTTGTTCGGGTTAGAGTCCGTTTCCGGACTCGGTAATGCCCATCAATTTGTTGCACTCGATTATCGTGATTGTTTTCAATAATTTCAGTATGTTTTGCTCTGTCTGTCCCCTTTATATATATGCATGTATGTATGTATGTTTGTATATAGAAGCTAACACAATATCTGAATTGAAATATAATATTTTCAATATTTGTATACATATGAGTAAGTATCTATGTATGTATGTATATACATATGTATGTATGTGTATGCATAGTTTTAGCTACATGCATATGTACATATACTGTATGTATGTATGTATGTATATTTTTATTGACAGATTTCTCTTTATTATTTATTCGAGTGTCCTCTAACATATGCTTAGGAATAATGCGCGTGTGGCTACTATGTATGTATGTATGTATATCCATGAGGATGAACGCTTCTGGGCCATTCTGGAATGCTGGCAACCTTTTGGCACTGTTACTCTCAGTGAAAGAGATGCAATGGGTGGGAATGGTGTAACGAGCGGGTGATGGGTGGGTGGTGATGATGGCAGATCTACAAATTAAAAGCAAACAAACTGAAGCACACAAAATGCAGACATAAAAGCATACATATGCACATACTGTGTATATATATGTACACGTACATTTTAATGTGTATGGGGCACATTAAATTTTATTATAATAGTACAAAAAAAAAGAGATCTAAACGTAAATAAACGCATTGCATTGTAATCTATCGTACAAATTATAATGATGCATACGAATTAAAGTATTTATAAGATTACGATTTTGTATCAAAATATTGCACTACATTGAATATCATGTAATATACATATGTGAGCTAATTCATTTTCATGAAATTAATTATGGATAGAGTCGCTTAAAACCGAATTCACGTTCCCTTGAGCAAAACTGTGTTTTCGTGGCTAACAGAAAAAAAAGATTGGAGCTAAAAAAAGTATATATGTATATGTATGTATGTGTTTGTGTGTGTATATGTATGTAACTCCTTTCAGTTTCACTTAGTTAAGTGTAATTTGAATATCTTATAACTATCATTAAATACATTTTCTTTGTTTCTGTTCTTGTGGTTGTTGTTGCATTACTATGTAGCACCCAGCATTGTACATGCTCGAAATAAATTCATGTGATTTGGTTGTATTTAGGTTAACAGTTTCCCCGATTTTTCTGCTCCACAAGCTCCACAAGCTCCACATCATCCTTCAATTGTTACTCTGGAATCTAGATTCTAGAACAATAACTTAAAACTCATTTTTGGAATATAGTGTAACATTAAGTGAGATAATTTCCCATGTCAGTAATACTCGTGCATACATACATATGCCTTTGTATGTATGTATAGCTGATTATAATAAGAAATTTCATAAAACAGGTTATCGTTAGTTTGTTTTTAGTCTTGGCAACATATCGTCAGTATCGTCCTGTGCAAACTAGGCTTTAGCGTGTACATACATATATACGTAGCACACGGGCTGGAAGGGGCATGGAACGACACACACGTCACACACGTCACACACGACACACGCACACACGCACAACCATCACATGCATGCATTCAGACATGGGAGACTCACGCAGGAACGGGTGACAGAATACGATTACGGAGCACGGTTAAGGATGCACAGAGAACAACAGAGAAATAAATGACTAAGACGCTGGCTAGGATCAACTCAAGGGCAACTAAAATCAGCGAATAGGATTAACATGGAATCGCTGGGCGGTGTCGGGCAGGCGCTCATCTGCCGCTGCCGCTGCCGCTGCCGCCGTCCATACCGCCGCGACCCAAATGCACTGAAGTAGCTGACAACTCGACGCGTTGACACTGGCGGCGCTCGACGATGACCGCCGCTGGCAGCGACTATTCGAGCGCGGGTCATACGTTCATCGCGTAGTACACTGATCCCTGTGCATGTGGCTGGGCCTGAGCCCCAGCTCCGATTCCAACCTGCTGTTGTTGTTGTTGTTGTTGCTGCTGCTGCTGATGATGCTGCTGTTGTTGGTGCTGCTGCTGTGTTGTTGTTACTGCTGCTGTTGGGGAGACCATGGCGTTGCAGTCGCTGTGCGAGACAGTGGCGGCTCCCTCGGGTACGCCACGTTCGCTGAAGCCCGGAATGCCACCATCCGTCGCAAACTGATAGTGTTGTGGCATCAGTCGCTGTTGCTGCTGTTGCTGCTGCTGCTGCTGCTGCTGTTGATGCTGCTGTTGCTGCTGCTGCTGCTGCTGCTGATGCTGGCCGTAGTGGGCGGCGTGGCCGCGACCACTGACCACATGCAGCTGCATGCCGGGCAGGGCGTACCCGATAGGCACCCGTATCGTTTGCTGAGTGACCTGCGAGTGGACAGAGCGATAATGGATCAATGCAGACGATAAAGGGGAGGGGGGAGGAACACTCACCTGCTGGTACTCCAGGATGTTCTGGCGCTGAATGTGGGCTAGCTTGGGGTCCACGCTACTGCTTGTAGCAAACTGGGAGTACGTCTCCGCATTGTACGGTATCAGCACCATGGTTTGGTGGTAGTTCCTCAGCGGCGGCGGCGACTCCGGCCGCCGAGTGGGACTACGTGCGAAGTGGCTGCTGTAGCTACTGTGTTTGCTCTGCTCGATGGCCGTGGCCGTAGCCGTCGCCGTCGCCGTGGCAGTGGCCGTGACGCTCTGACAGTTCTGGGCGGCAGCCGCGGCATAGAGGAGCGAGGCTTCATCGCCGGCCGCGCCTTGCTGGATCATCGTTTGGCGGAACATGGTGCCGGCAGGCAGGGTCTGGTAGTAGGTCTGGTGAATGGCGGCCGCGTCGATGGGAAAGCGCTGCTGCTCGCCGGTCTCGCTGTAGAAGCTCCAGGTGCGCTGTTCCGTCTTCTGCTGGGCAATTGTGTTCGCCTGCATCGCTGCCGCCATCTGCTGTTGCAGCTGCTGATGTTGCTGCTGCTGCTGCTGCTGTCTGCTGCTGCTGCTGTTGTTGCTGCTGCTGCTGCTGCTGTTGTTGCTGGTGTTGATGCTGCTGCTGTGCCTGTTGTTGCTGCTGCTGTTGGTGCTGGTGCTGGTGCTGGGCCGAGGGATTCGGCTTGGCAGTGTTGGGCATAGCGTAGCCCTTTACCGCCTGCGGCACCGGCTGGCTGTTGACCATTATGGGGATGGAGGCGTTGAGCTGCTCCTGCATCTGGGCGAGGATCTCGTTGGTTGAGCTGAACTTCGGCTTGATGCCGCGCACCGAGGGCCGCTTGTTGAATCCGTAGTCGTTCTGCTCATCGTCGTCGCTGCTGGCCTGCGACTGGTCTGCCCCTCCCGTGTAGCGCTTCTTCAGCTGTTCGGTTCGCTTCGCCTCCGCTTGGGCGAAGACGGCCAGTTCGTCCTGCTCGGGACGGCTGGCGGCCTCCTGGCCGGGTGTGCCGGCGATGACGTCCGGCGCCACCTTGCGCACCTCCTCCGAAACTGCGCTAGCCCCAGCCCCAGCTCCAGCTCCAGCCCCAGCCCCAGCACCACCTGCTCCTGCTCCTGCTCCTGCCCCGGTAGCCATGCCGCCCAGGGTTTGTGCTGCCATAGCCGCGGCGTGCTGCGCAACCGGGTCCCCGGAGACGGCTGCAGCTGTGGCCGCGCCCAGAAGCTGGCCCATATGGAAGTCGGCCGCGGCAGCCACTGCGTATGTGGCGGCATGGGCGTGGCTATGGCCGTGGGTGTGGCCGTGGGTGTGGGTGTGGGCGCCGGCGGCAAGGGTGTAGTAGGAAGAGAGGTCGTCCTTGTTACCAGCCACGCAGGCGGTGAGCGGAGCAAGGGTGGAGGAGAGGAACTGGCGCTTTGGCTCGGTCTGGCGGGGTGGGGTACGGTGGATCTGGGTGTGGACCACGGGCACCTGGATGCCCATGCCCAAGTCGGGTGCAGCCGGACAGCGACACTCCTGTGGAATGGAAGTAGACAAGTTCAGCCTAGCGCTCTCAGAGCTGGGACAGAGGAGAGTACTCCACCAACCTGTGGTATGATGACAATTGGGTTCTCCTCCAGCTCCATGATCTTCTCCTGCTTCTTGTCGCGGTTAAATATGTCCGCGATCTTTTTGTAGGCCGACGATCCACTCGAGGAGCTGGACACCGAGCTGCTGGGCGAGAAGCTCTTCTCCCCGTTCATGAACTTCTGTCCAGCGGCGGAGCTGGGGGCAGGATTGGGGTTCTCCTCGCCGGCGGGACTGTCGCGCTGCGCCAACTCGTCGGAGCCACGCTCGCTGGGGTCGGGGTCCTCGTCGACGTCCCGGGACAGCTCCTCGGCCAAGTCCTCGTCGATATCGCAGGTCAGCTGCTTGATGCGGTCCTCCAGCGATATGTCCGACTTGACGGCCTTTTTTCTGCGAGTGAAATGGAATGAGGTGGTTAGCTTCATCATGGCAACTGGCGAGTGCCAGTCGCGTAGCAATCACTCACTTGATCAATGAGCGGCGAAGGATGTTGCGCTCCATGCTGCGGCGCAGGGTGTCCGAGTCGCCGCAGCTTCCGGGCAAGTGGGTCACGAGGCAGCCGGCCCGCTTCGACTCGTCGAAGGCTCGCAGTGCCTCCGAGGTAAGGACGGGGGCCTGGTGAGCGGAAACGCTGGGGAACAGCTGGCGCACCGCCGAGTTCGGACGCAAGGCGTTGTTAAAAAGGGTCGAATGCTTCTTGATGGGGATTAGCTCGTTGATCTGGTTTTCGCTGTCGTCCAAATCCTCAGCCAGGGACTGGGCGTCGCTGTCGCCGCCGGCATTCGCCTGGTCCTCCGTCACAAAGCGCACCGAGCGCCTTATGGTGCCGCTCTCCTCCTCCGAAGTGTTGTTCTGGTCATCCGACTGCTGCTCGATCAAATTTGCGGTGGTTATTAGATTGGATTGGATTCGAGTGGATTCGATTGGATTCGATTGGACAGTGAACAGTGGACAGTGGATTACTCACCTGGGAGATTGAGTCCTGCTTCCAAAGCTTGCCACCCTTCAGTATGCCGCTTATCTGGGTGGGCGAGGTCTCCTTTGGCGGTATGGGCGGTGGCATTTCCTCCTCGAATGGCTGCTTCTCTGGTGTGGCAGATGCTGCGGCGGCGGCGGCGGCAGAGGCGGCTGCCGCTGTTACCGTAGTATTCGTCTTGGCTGGCAAAGCGGGTGGCTGCATATCCGCACCTGGGGCAACAGCAGCGGAAGTGACAGAGGGCGCCACACCCCCACTTGCCACATCCTCGTGTGCCTCCCGGATGATGCGCCGCTCGGTCACTGTGGTCATAGTGGTAATAGTTTCAACAACAAATCGTTTATTCTTGGTCGAGCTACTGACTCCCGGAACTGGTGGTGGTGCTGGGCTATGGCCGGAGCCAGCGGGAGAGCTGGCCCTGCCGACGACCGAATCCTTTCCAGCTTTGACTGATTAATGGACACACCACAGGGTCACGGACACGCCCACACACACGCACACGCACACGCACACACACAAAGAGAGCATTGCATTGGCATTGAGAGAGTGGTAGAGAGTGGCAGAGAGAGGTAGAGAGAGGTAGAGAAAGGTAGAGAGAGCGCTCGTGGATACTGGGTTGGATTGGATTGGATCGATGTATTGTATGTATGTATTGTATGTACATATGCATGGAATGTACATGATTGAGGTACATACATATGTGCATGTGTACAAGTGCAGATTCATACGAAACCCGATGACGATGTTGGGCAATCGATAACAACATCTCGATATCAGTTTCAAGATGGTTTAACTGCGACTGTTCGCACACGAGTGTGTAACAGAGCCCTGCATGGATCCACACGGCTCATAAATCACAGGATATGGCTTAAGTACTCATGCCCCTTAAGCATGCCCCTTCAATGCGTGCGATCAGCACGAATCCTGCCTTCAGTCTGATCCACCGCATCACCCCGAATAACTAAAAGCCGAACCCGAGCACCGCGGATTGGTACTAGCAAGCTTCGTGCGCATGTCCTGAATTGACTCCAAACATACTTCGGATTTCGTGTGCCTTCGGCTACGCACATTCGGCGTGAAGGCCTCCCTGCTCTGGCTATACTCGAATTGTACCATAGGATTAGGATCTTTGTAGCCTGATTCGTAAACAAATAAGTAAATTTTCGAAAATGTTGCTTCTATTTGGCGCAAGAAATTCTCTTGCTAAATCTGAAACAACTTGTTTTCAGTGTAAACTTTACACTGTAAAGCAAGGAAACGTTCGCACACGCACAACTACACACAACTACACACAACTACACACAACTACACACAACTTTCCAGGCAGAGGGCAAAGCAAACAAAAAAAAGCAGCAAATTTGTGTATTGCTTTCTCGTTCTCTCTACCAAAAAATCAAGAGGAGAGTGAGAGAGAGAAAAAACCGAACTGTTCGGATCTGACACAGCGAAAATCGGGAGACCTGAATCGGACGAAGCGAATACCGAATCGATCCGAATCCCTCCGAATCCCTCCGAATCGATCCGGTTGTCCGTTCATGCAGGGCTCTGCTGTAGATACTCAGAAGTCTGGCTATCAAACCATATGCACAATTACTATCCACATACATACATATTTGTGTAGAGCTGTTTTTGGCATCAACAGCCCACAGCCTATACCTATACCGTTGGCTCCAGCGACCTGATTTTTTTGATACTGTTCCTTTTCGGCCAATGATATCCGCTGAGCTAAGGCCTAAAGCCGTTATTTGATCCTCCCACCAGAAGTATAGGGAAGAACGTTGCTTTGCTATCCACACACCAAAGAGGCCCGCTATTGCATTTTACTTGCATTTTCAAATTGACCAGCCAAACTCATTTTGTATTAGGTCGACTGCATGGCCGACGCACTGCTCGATACTATTTTTATACATATTTACATATTTGTGTAGGGCTGTTTTTGTATTGTTTAATTGTTTGTTTTGGGCCAAAGATGCTCCCAATTCGGAATGAAAGCTGCATTGTGCCTAGCAAAATCAAACAAAGCGTGATTACGGTGAGATATGTCGAGACTTCCGATGCGGTGTCCTCGGCTCGAGGCCTGCACTGGATTTTCTTCTTTTCTTCTTGAACAAATCTTTTTTTACGCCCACATTTTGCTTTGCTATCCACCCACAGAAGCCTGTATAAATTGTGTTTTTAAATTGACCAGCCAAACTTAGCTTAGCATGTTGGCTGCATTGTCTGAGGGCTGAGGGCTGAGGGCCTACTAGCAAGCCTACAGCATACATGTCTGTATGTAGATGTAGTGTATACATGCCATAGAAACGATGGATGTGCGACAGCTACACATAGTATATGTATATGTGCATATGTATGTATGTATGTATATTAAACTTTGGATACTGAAAGTTCATTTCGTTTTGATTTTCATATGACAAATGACATCTGAATACATTTGAATTGCACCAGCTGCAAAACAGCTAAGTACTCGTTCATATACATATCCATATACATACATACATACATACATATAATATGTAAGTGTGTATGTACCCACATATGGGACATGTATGTGAACAAGAAAAGTCTTCACTGACGACACAGAAGACACTCGTACAACTCCAGCGCCGTATAAGGCGTACATATAAGTGACTTCAGAAGAAACAGTGCCAAATCACGTATTGGATATTAGAACTGTGTTTAGATTAGAACTAAATTCGGGTTTTCCCTTTTATTTTGCGGCAGAATGCCGCATTGTCAGATATGACAATGATCAATGTGATCAATGTGATCAATGCCACGACACCCGAGTCCAGACTGGACCCCCAAGAATCGCCGGAGGTCGCAGGGGCAGATGGCAAATGGCAAATGGTGGGGTGCGGTGGCATGGCGTGGCGTGGCGTATACATACATATACATATGTATGTACACATGTATGTATATATTTATGTACGAGTATGCATGTGCATGTGCATGTATGTACGTGATAAAGCAAATGACCAGAGAATGGTGAATGGTTGGATCCGGCTTGCGATTGATTGGGGGAGGGCGGGCATGGGCATGGGCATGGGATGCATTGAATTGATGGTACTGTACCTGCAGTGGGCGATGCCTTGTACTGGGACTGCAGCACATACTTGGGCCGCTCCTCGCCGGCGATGATCTCCTTCTGGGTAATGCGACGCTCCGGTGAACTGGTGTGCAGGGGCAGCAGGGCCACTGCCGGCACCCCGACCCCGAGTGGTGTCATCTCCTCTGGGCACTGCGGGGAGCTGCATTCTGGAAAGAGGCAAGAGCGAGCCACCGCACAGACGCTGTTAGTACATACGAGTAAATATGTATGTACATATGTACATATATGTAAGTATGTATATCTATAAATGCGTATATCAAATGATAGATCGGAAGCAAAGAATTTCCGCTGCTTGGTTGCTGCTTGGTTGCTGCTGCTCCCAAGTGGGAGAAGCGGAAGTGCGCTTGAAGGATCGGTATGGGCATAGCTATGGGTAGGTATGTACATTGTACATGCATACATACATACATACATACTTGTACGTATATGCATATGTACATATATGGGCTTGTTGCATTCGCGGTTCGTTAGGCGCAACAATTAATGAATAGCTCACCCAACGGACTGGCTGACTGGCTGACTGGCTGACTGTCCCGCTTTCTTCCCCGTCCTGTTCCGATCTGTTCCGTTCTGTTCCGTCGCATTCATTTTCCGGTTGGCAGTCAATGAAGCGTAACCACCGACATCAATGCACTCCTTTATGAGCCCCCCCCTTAAATAGTATCCCTCTAGGGGCTAAGCCCAGGCCTCACTGAAGTCAAGTAACAAATTGCCTCGGGAGCCAATTCCATCCAAATCTTCGTTTGCCACTGCAATATTTACACCCAGGGTACCCTGGGTACTCAGTAGGGTATCGTACAGTGCTAGCTTATTACTGGTTCCTGACAACTTTGGCATAATATCCAGCTATCTCATTGCAACTTGCCGCCAAGCTCCTTTATCTCAGTGTCCATACTGATGTCGTGGGATCAATATACACTTCGGCATTCAATCTGGCTGAGATGAAGTATACATATGTACATACATATGTACCTACACACATATATGTACAAATGGGTATCATCTTTCATCTGCTGCAGAACGGAAAACGCATATCACGACAGACCCATCGTCAAAGCTCGCTTAAAACAGGATCATGGAGATCCTGGCGCACCCACGAACCCACGAACCTACGAACCCTTCGTGGATTTGCATGGAATCCATATTTAGGTGGATTTATAATATCATTTGCATTAATCTGCATTTGCAGATCCGATCCCAGTTCCCAGATCCCAGAGTCCTTTTGCAATGTCTACCCCGCATTCATGCATCCCATTCCATTTTTAATGGAATTCCATCTTCATGAGCAGTCAAACTAGTTCCACAAGGCATTTAATCTACCAAATCGAAAATCGAAAATCGAAAAATCGTAATGTAAGGCTTATGTATGTAATACGAGGGTATAACATCTTTACAGGAGCTCTTTATACAGGCCGCGGGATGGTGCGCGAAACCTCCCTTGGCACCGGACAATATCCCGTGACGAGTGTGGGGCTTCGGGCGAGCAGCCCTATAAACCTAACCTAACACCAAGCCGAATACCCATGAAATATGCTGGTTACTATTCCAAAATAGTATTACTTTTTTAGAAGCTCGAAAAAAACATCGAAACTAAAATGAAGACATATATTTCATGTTCTTCATGTTCCTTGAGCTTTAACATTTAGTTGTTAATCAATTTGGGTTTCATTGCGAACTTTCACCGGCCGGACATGGGTCATTAATCTCTTGCCAACGCTACAATGGGATTTGAGCCAATAATCCTTGAGCAAATTGCTAACACTTGGCTCTGGTTGACGGATTTTCAGTTGCAACAATGCATTTGGCATTCCCCCATACAATTTCGATGAGATTAATATCCAGTTGGACAGGTGGCCATGGCAAAACGCCGATCTTTTCCGATAAAAATCAATTCCTAGCGAGCTTTTCTGGGTTATCCTGTTAAGAGATCCTGTTAAAAGATCCTTTTAAAAGGAAATTTTCAACTGTAATATGAGTGTAATGTATTATTAAGTATGCCCACATACACTAGAGAGAGAGAGTAACTCTGGAGAGTACTAGCTCATATGAGCTGGACCCCATAGGGCCCAGCCCAGCATGCTCAATGATATTTTTTCCACGATTTTGGGATCCCAGAATGGATGCCAGTAATATTTGAGATAGACTCGAATCTTGCCATAGTATTTTTGTCACTGTGACACAGTCCATTCCACACACATTCCACATGCGTTTTTCCAAACCGAAGTCGTGTACCCATGTGCTCTCAGACCCAAGCGCGGAGCTTTCTGGGACTTCCTGCATTCAAATAATGTGTAATCAACCGTCTACGAACAGTCACATCACTGTCATCACTATATTGACAGACATGGTCCTGCCTTCGACTATCGACGACCATCCTCTAAAAGAGAAGTTTTTCGCGGTCTACTTCTTATAACTAAAAGGGGTTAAACACAATAGTGAGAGTGCATACAACTTAGTTTTCAATCCCTTTATAGCTCCTGCCTTAAGTTTTTAGTCTAACTCTTAGGTCTCCTCTTCTGGACCGAGCAATGATTTCTTCAACGCTCTCAAAATCAAAAGTACCGCTATGTCCAAAACTTTCTTTCATCAAATTATTCGATAACCAAATTGAACTTACGGGTGGTGACTTATTTAAATTAATTTGCTTTGTTTTTCATTTTTTTATATTAATTAAACCCAGCACTACTATTTCATTGAACAGCAGATGTCATATCATATATGAGGTAGTTGTCTGAAGTCATGAAAACCAAGAAGATGGAATCCAAATGAACCAGTTTCGTGTCTCGTCTCATGTTTCTCATGCTCACATTCCAGGCCTTCCGTTAAGGTATCACTTCTTCAATTTGAAGGACTAGAACTATCTCAAAAAGAGTTTTGAAAGTAGTGAGGTGCGGCGCTACTATGATGAACATATATGTACATATGTATGTACATATGTGCATAACAGGGTGAACGGTGCACGGCCCGAATGTCAGTCAACTCTGTCTGAGACGGTCTCGCCCTCGACCGGGCTGAGCCTCCGCCTCCAATCCATTGAAAACATTAAATTAGCCAGAAAATACACGTGCCAGTGCTGGGGGACGAGGCGAACGAACTAGCGAAACAAAAATCAAAATGGCGTCTGATTAAGGACTCAGCCCCGCGTTGGAGCCTCGCCAAATTGTCAACGGGCTACTGTCGGAGTAGCGGGCGGGAGCTGAGCTGTGGCTGTGGCTGTGGCTGTGTTTACATAAATAATTCATAATCAGATTACACAAAGGCAAACGAAAGCGTTTGCAGGACATGGAATGAAAAGAAGCCCCCAACGGGATGGCCCTAATTGCAGTGAGTCTGCTCGGACCTGAACCTGGACCTGGACCTGGCAGCTGCCAGCTGGCAGCTGCCTCTAGTCTCTAGTCTCCGCCCTGGCTGCTTACCCGCTTCCTGTAGTTGCTTGGCGGCACATTCCGCGCACTCGGCACACTCCGTGCAGACGCCCTGCAGTTCCTCCTCCGACTGCTGCTTCTGATGCTGTGGCTGCTGTTGCTGCTGTTGCTGCTGCTGCTGCTGTTGCTGCTGGGCACTACCCACAGGAGGCGGTGGAGGTGGTATCTGACTGGTGCTGTTGCGGGCGGCCAGCATCGCTGCACGCTGCTGCTGCAGGCGCTGGATCACCTGCAGCTGTTGCAGATGCTGTGCCCCGAAGATGTGGCCACTCAGCGCGCCTCCGAGCGTGTTCTTCAGACTGCTGTCCTTGTAGCCGTCGGGCGGGCTCAGGGCAGCGTCGTCAACAAACTCGATTGGCGGCTGATATTTGGGACTCTGTACGAAAGAAGGAACGGGAAAAGTAACACATGTTATTCTGCACGTACGGGGAAATAAGTATTGTGATTGTTTGCCGGACTACGACCGCGAATCTAATTAATTAGTGGGGGCATAGTGTTTTACTTGTACACTAAACAATGATCTAAATGTTTGAAACACAAAACATTAAGTTAAATTGATGTACATATGTACATCTATATGTACATATATGTATGATGGTCATACAAGGCGGTGTACTCCCTCACTTTCGGCTCTTATTCATCACTCTCGCACATGCAGTCACAGCTACGAGTACTTGCAGTTGAACGGGAAGAACAAGCCCCGAAGAGAGGGCGCGGTATGCATACACGTAACGGGAATTTCCGCGGGAGTACACCACCTTCTATAATATCATCATGCTACATACAATTACATACATATATACATACATACATACATACATACATACATACATATATTCATGTATTAACATAAATTACCAAAATAAGCAGCATGGATAATCGAAAGAAATCAGCTATCCCGGACACATGACAAAGGGACCAAAACGTAGTGCAGCCAAGTAAAGGATATAGTCTCTGAGCAACGCTTTAGTAAAGCTACTGCGAATACCATGCATGGATGTATATGGATGTACAATCTAAATGTTTCCCCGCTTGGCGCGAAACCACACGGGGGGTCCAGCGAAAAGTGCCCGGCCTCTGGAATAAAGCCATTAATGACCCATTCAAATCGGACTGCAGCTGTAAAACTGATTTCAATTATATTTGAATGGCGCTACTTTCAAATTTCATATTTTGTTAAATCTTTCAGGGTTTTTCAGGGGTGTCCAAAAGGGCATATATGTATGTATGTATGTACACACTTACATATGTACTATATACATTTTTGTTCTTTCGAAAAATGGTCAGTCATTAAATTCAGGATAACATTTTTCTATATGAAGGATTTAGTTCTATTTAGTTCTCGCACTGACAGTTGCCCAAGACCCTTTGCTTTTCAATGGTGCACATACAATGTACATATGTACGACAGTGATGCCAACTATTCGTCTCGAAAACAGGACAAACTGACAAAAAATATGCGAAAAAAAGGATGAAAATATTTTAAAAAGTACAGAATAACAGGAAATTTTATTGTTGTTTATCGATCTACATTTGGTAGTGTTTAAGCTTATTTAGGTATTTAGGGCACTTAAAGTTTTAGAATCAAGCTCGACCTCTTCTTCCTTCTTCATATGAGGCACTCGTGCCTCATTTTCGGGTCTTTGTCGGCTATTTTTTAGTTCTGGCAGCATGCCCCGTTCCAGCGTATGCTTTCAATGCGGCAGTATTTAATATCGAAATTTTTGCTTGCAAACTCCTTCGGGCACAGGGCTCCTTTTGAGCACCTTGGCATATGTAATGCCATACGAGAATGTGCAGATGCAATGCAACATAGTTGAAATTTGATCAAATTACAAATATTCTATCAAGCCAAACAAACAATGTCCACAACCGGCACCTTCCCCTACTGTTTTGTTGTTGGCTTTAATATTCGAATATTTCTAGAAGAACCTGAAGGCTGTGCTTAGTTTTTTGCTTTAGTTAATATTTATAAGGAAACCAGTGCACAAAAAATAATAGAAATGTTTACCTATCATATAAAAATTATTTTTTGTTGTTTAACTTAATCAAACTTCATTAATAAGGGGAAGGGGGTAGGAACACATTTTGCTCTTACTGTTTGTATGTATATTGTACATACATACATACATACATACATATGTACGTACCCGGTACTCATTGAGTAATTCAATTTGTGTGAGATATCAATTCAACAGCCAGAATCGCTCTATTTGATTTAGCTTACGATGTTGCACATACATACATACATGCATACATATATACATATGTATAACAGCTTAGAAAGAACAGAAAGAACAGCATGCAACATGCTCGAAATCGTTGCAGCACCGTTGTACCAGATTATGTCAACTGCATAAGCGGAATAAAAGGTTCCAATTTGTACTCGTACACACATATGTACATACATATATGCTTTTGAATACACTATCAAAAATCTATAGTGCTAAAAAGCTCCGAAATTCATTCCCCGAATTCCAACCCAGAGCGAGAGCATTTTGGCTTATTGGAAAAGTCGAGACTTGCCTTTTTTGGTGCAAATGTGAGCCAGAGTCGAGAACTTTGCATTGAAATGGGAAAACTTCTGAGTGAATATGATTTAATTTTTTCTGGGGTGCTGTGAGTTATGCAACGCCTTCAGTAAACTTTTCACATCCACTAAATGCATATTAAACTCTTCAGAGAGAACAAGCCCAGAGATGGGAAAAGAACAGGGCCAGACATGCGGATAGATGGGGGATAGATGGGGGGGGATAGATGGGGGAGAACATGCTTGGGCAGCTCCAAGTCAAGAGCCTTGGGCGCCAGAAATTGCCCTCGCCCTCTCACTTTCACTCTCAGACAGGAGCAGAGGCAAGGGGCAAGAGGCAAGAGGCAGGCCCCTTACCGGTAGGACCCGACCAGCGAAGATGAGCAAAAAAGCGGTGCACTTAAGTGTCGCTTATGTGGAAGCAGATTGAAATTTAAACGCAACTCGAGGGCCGCTCTGGATCGATCCGCATGCACATCCACACTCACATGCACACACACTTTTATACATACGTATTTTATGCATGTGTGCGCATATATGTATGTACATATGTATGTGTGAGGGTAGTGTGGTGTGGTGAGGGCGATGGAAGCAGGCCGGAGAGGAGATTAACGAAGGAGCAAGCCAGGAACTCCCGATTCAAGGAAGTATCAGCCGCTTACCGCTGGCGGTAACTTTCCCTTCCCGATGTCCTCAACATGTACATGTAAATGCGTCCATCATGATAGCACGTTCCCACCACTCACGGATCAATTCATAAAACAATACATACATATATGTATGTATGTATGTATGTACATATTTACACGGACAGATGTACAGCGTGAGAGGGAAAGAAAGAGAGAGAGGGAGAGGGAGAGGGAGAGAGAGAGAGCAACAATGATACTGCCGCTGCAGTTTCGAGTTTCAGCTACTGGCCCAAGAAAGCATTTTGAACAAAAGTTTTTAAGTGATTTATACACACTTGCCTCCACTCCAATAGGGGGGATGTGACGAACTTGTAGACACAGATGGGTGACGGGTGACGGGGTGACGGGGTGACGGGTGACGGGGTGGGTGTGTGTGTCTTGCGGATTGACCACCCACACTGAAGCGGGGCTTGCAGGCAAGGAACCAGGACAGTCCTGGACATGGAGCTGTGCTTTTGTTGCCTCAATTGTTCACACATTGGTATTACAAGTTGGACGGCGTTTGCAGTAATCAACACGAGATGTGGCAATACTTCAACTTGGCAGATTCAGCATTACTCTGTGAGGCTAGAAAGGCTACTAGAACGAAAAAACGAGAACGAGGCTGCATCGGAAAGCCACCAGCACGCCCACCAACATCGAATTTGCTCCAATATTTCTATCTGGTGTCCTTCTTGGTCCTTCGAGCAGCGGCTGGGAAAGGGGGAATACTTGCAGAAATATATTCTCAGCTTCGGCTATTGCACAAATGTACATGTACCATGTACCATGTACCAGTATGTACATACACACATATGTGCATAAGTACACAAACACTTGGAATATGGGGAAACGTCTTAAAGAAGCAAAATGTACTCTAATTGAGCTCCAACTAAGGTAAGTTAGGTAATAAATACAAAAAACGAGTACATTTTGTGAGGTGTTTACATCGTGGAGTGATGTTCTGCTCTACCCACGAGTATTGATGCAAATAATCTGCTCATAAAAAGGAGTACGTTGACATCTTGCACACGAGTAGCTGAGTAGCTCCGTGCTGAGTGGAGAGCTAAAGTTGGCGAAGAAAATACATTCACGGGCGAGAGGAGTCTGTTGGGAATGGAATGGCGTGCAGAAAGTTGTTGGCGGTTGGTTCCACCTTCGTGGTGCAGGGTGGACGGGGCTCTGGCCCTGCGGGTCTGGTGACAAGCTAGAGCTAGGCGCCGAGCAGTGGCAGCGCTAAGGCTGCTAATGCGCTTATACTCGTAGTTGCTGTTGCTGTTGCTGTTGATGTTCGAGTGGGAAATCCAATCTGTTTCCTTTCCCCCAGTTGATGTTCCCTGCCCTCATGCACTCACCTGTGGCGTTCGTCCATCGCCTGCCTCGGCGGCATTGACCGCGTAGTTGCACTGGCATCCCTCCTCGCAACAGAGCCGCACTAGCTCGTGCTCGCCGCAAGTGCACGGCTCCTCGTCCTCCTCATCGTAGGCACAGTCCTCGCGGATCAAAATAATGTAGTCCGCCTCAAAAAACTCGTTGCGCGTCTCATCGAAGACCACACGGTTCTTGCGGGCTGGCGGCGGTCGATTGGGCTTCTTCAAAAGGCCACGCAGTTGACCGTTGACCTCGCGCATATTCGGGCCGTCTCCGGATGCTGCTTCCGAAGCAAAGACGGATGGGGCGGATCTGTTCCTGGCTGTTATTGTGCAAGTGATGAAATTGCTATCTGGTATCCCTCTGGCCGTGTCCTGCTGGCTATCCTTGAAGCTGCCTAGGCACTCATGGCACTGGCATGTGCTGTCCTTACCGTTGTAGTTATCGCTGTTGTTATCGCTATCGATGTTGTTATCGCTATCGATGTTGTTATCGCTATCGATGTCGCTATCGATGTCGATGTCGTACTCCTGTTGCTCGCTCACGAACTCTGCCAGCAGTTCGTCGTAGCACTGAAAGTTTCCAGCCTTCTTATCAACCTGACTATGGCCCTGTGCTGTCTGGCTGCGATGCTGGATGTGGGTTTTATGCTGATTCTGAGCTGGATTCGGATTCGGATTCAGGCTCTGGCTAATGGCAACGTCGACCCACTGCAGTTGACGGGCTGCAGTTAGGTACTCACTGAACCGCTGCACATCGAACTCGCTGAGCGGTGTCGCAAAGGTGACGCCGGCGGCGGTCTTCTCCTGGCTAATGCCAAAGCGGACGCCGTCAGAGGCTTGGGTCGGCACAAATGCGCTCCGGATGGCTGTGTCCGTCCCCGTCCCAGTCCCCGTCTTCTCGTGGATGTCGATGTCGATGTTCGTGTCCGTGTCCGTGTCCGTTTCGATTTCAATAACCACTTGGTCGTTGGCAGCTGCCAATGTGAGCGCCCCAATCTGACCCGCACTCTGGCTCTCTCCGCACCGGCGCAGTGTCGTCTCGGTACGCGTATTCAGCGAATGTTGCTTCTGCCGTTCAGCTGTTTGTCCAAGCGCTGGAGGTGACTCGCTCTCACTTGGCGATTGCTCGACTCGAATACAATTTACATTTAATTGAATTGCACTTGAGCTTGCCACGGCCGCAACTTCATCGGCGGCAGTCTCCTTAACTATTTTATTGTCTTGAGCGGGCTGACATTGGGGGGGGCACTGGCGTGTCGTCACTGTCGTGGCTGTCGTGCCTGTCGTGCCTGTCGTGGCTGTCGTGCCTGTCGGACTGTAGCTGGGGCTGAGGTTGGGGTCTGCTCCTGGCTCTGGGGGTAGTTTCTTTGTTATGCCTGTTGTTTTCTGCTGTTGCTGTTGCTGTAGTTGTTGTTCGAGCCTCAAGGATGCCTTTACACAATCAATGTTGCTGTTGCTGTTGCTGCTCACGCGTCCCTGAAAATTGTATTGCAAGCGTTTCAGCCGCTGACTGGCTACAAAATCCTCGCCCAAATCGTCAAAATCAATGAGATCGTGCTCGCTGCAGCTTGTTGCTGTTGCTGTTACTGTTACTGTTGTCGTTGTCGGTGTCGTTGTTGTTCCTCTGATGCAGTTCTCCCTCGAGCTAATTGCCAAATTGATGGCAGATACAAGTGGGTCCAATGATTCACAGTCTACGAGCTTCTCGTTTTTCTTAAGTGCTGCAAATGTAGCCGACTCCCCGAGCTCCAATTCCAGCGATGCTTTCTGCTCTGCCGCGCCGCTTTCTTGTGCTTCCTCACGCAGTTTGCTCCTTCTGTCAGCTACTTCTGCTACAGCTACAGCTACAGCTACAGGCACAGGCACAGCTACTTCTGCTGCGGGGGGCTGCTCCGACGGCTGGCCTGGGGCGGCCTTGTTGTTTGTGACGCTTTTCACGTAATCCACGTAACCACAAGCAACAACAACGGGGACACTTTGTGGTGGGCGGAAAACAGCAACACCAGCAACATAATCAACGCTGCCAGCCAAGGATGGACTGGGGGGGTCTGGCTGCAAATATGGCAATGACAATGGCGCCTGCCACTCCTCTTGCTGCTTCTTCTTCTGCTTCTGCTCCTGCTCCTTCGACTTGTCGTGGCTGTGGCAGCTTAAGGCTGCTGCTCTTACAGCTGCTGCACTTTCTTCAGTGGCACTTTGCACATTTTCACAAATATAAAAAAAATCTCCTACCACACAAGCAGACAGTGCGTTTTGCCCGTCTTTTTCTACAAACTTTTCTGTACGTCGCGCGTCGTCGTCACATTTGGAGTCGGAGTCGGAGTTGCTGTCGGGGTCGTGGTCGGGGTCGGGGTCGGGGTTCGCGTCGAGAGCACAGATTCTTCTCTTTGTGGCCCGCTGGTGGTCTTTCGTTTCCGCCTGTCCGGAGTAGAGTCCAGCACGCGGATTAGCCTGATTGATTTCCACACAATTTTCACCAGAATTGGACAATTTGCACAATTTTGAGGATGTGGAAAAATGCTGCTGGTGCTGCTTCTGCTGCTCAGCTGCGACGACTGCCGCTGCTGCTGCTGCTACAAGGTTGGCTTTGGAAAGCTCACTGCCAATTGTAGGTATTGAGCAGGCGCTGCACCCGTTGCCACTCTTTTTGTTGTTTCTGTTATTGCTACTGCCACTGCCACTGCCACTGCTACTGCTACTGCTGGGTGGTTGTTGGCCAGCGTCTGCGCTCACGCTCTGGCTCTGGCTCTGACTCTGGCTCTGGCTCTCACGCTCGACTTGCGCGTACTCACATTTCGTAGCCACTTCCGTTGCTGTTTTGTTGTTGTTGCAACTGTATACAGCACGCGCACGCGCGTGCGTCAATATGTCACTCAGTACGTCATCCGCTCCCTCTGTCGCTGACTGGCCCGCCCCCAGCCCCTGTCCGACCAACTGGCCGCTCAGCTGTATCCATGGCCGCTGGAGCGCCTCGCATGGTTCGCCGCCAGCAGCATTGTCTCGGGAGCTGCGTGCCTTGCATGCCGAATGACCATCGCTCGGGCCTAGTCCACCATTAGCCATGTTGGGCGGCACGACTGCTCCTGTTTCCCCGCCACTACCACTACCACTACCACTGGCATATCCATTTCCATTTCCAATGCCACTTCTATCACCATTATTGCTGCTGCTCTTACAATTTTCATTTTCCGTGTGCTGCTGGCTCTGACTGGCCGCTTTATTGGCCACATTAACTGTCATTTTGCTGCAGATTGAGGCAAGGCCATCCACCTCCCGCTGCTGTTGGTCCCTCTCCCGCTCGCGCTCGCGCTCCCGCTCCCGCTCCCTGTCCCTCTCCAAGCCAGTCGCTAGTGCCAGCGACAGCATGTCCACAATCAGCATGCTTATTATTGACGTCCGATCACAAAGTCCGATCCATTAGATCATATTGGAGACATCGGAGAGAGGAGAGCCAAGCCAGGAGCCAGGAGCCAGGAGGCTAACAGCATATCCCTGTGGATCGACTGGGAATCGCGAGCGTATGGGAATTTCCCTTACTGCCAGTTCACACAACAGGTTTTCTTCACCAGTTGAGTTCTGTTCTTAAATATTGAAATTTTCTCCATTTAATTTTGCATAAATTAAAACATTTTCTGTTTTTAGGGTTCAAAATTCACCATTCACACAGTGAATATTCGCTTCGTTTGTATCACTCGTTTGTATCGTTGTCACTTGCTGCAAGGCCAGCAAGGGGAGAGTGGGGAGAACAGGTGCGGTCAGGGCCAGGGCCAGGGCCAGGGCCAGGGCCAGGGCAGTGAAGCGCATCCTGGGAACAGGTACAGGACAAACGCTGTCGCAACGCTGCTCGGGGCCAACTCTGTCCGTTACGCGCCACTGCGGACACACAAAGAGCAAAAGACACCACCGAACGAGCACAAAAGACACTTTATGAAAACAAAAACAAAAACGAAAACCGTAAGCCGTAAACCGTAAACCGTAAATACATATGTTCGAGCTATTTGCTGCTTCCTCTTTCTCAACTTCTTATTCTAGCGGCAGTTATCTGCTGGCAACACTACGCACGTCCGAGCGCGTTTCGTGACGGAAGTCGACTGAGCGAAAGTAGACGCAGCCGCGAAACGAAGTTGGGCCGCCGTGGCCGTCTTCGACTCGGTCTTCGTCGCGATCTCAGGTTCGTGCTCTTCCATTGTCTCTGCCGTGTCCGCATGCGCAGCGGCAGAGGCAGAGGCACAAGCACAAGCACAAGCACAAGCATAGACAGAGGCAGAGGCAAAGAGAACACTTATGTACATAGATGACACGGGGGGACAGCTCGCATGTTCGTAAGTACTCGTGTGGGCCAGGGGTCGGGGCTGAGCATAGCCAAAACAGAGAGTGACAATTATGCGAGGGGCCCGGGGGTCATTTTATGACCACACCTCGGACAGCACTCTCAGCCGGGTCAAGACGTGCTCATCGCGCAGCCATAGGAAGTGGAGATCGGATAATCGTAATTATAATGAATGTGATTAGACACCAGCGCTCACTGCATACGATAATAATTACTAATGCACATTAAACTACCAAGATCTGGCTCAAACCAGAGACCAATGTACATACATATTTGACTCTGTCATTGAAGAAATCCAAGGCGGCAGGATTGGACGCTACATGGCAAGGGCATGTTGGGGTTCGCGGTCTACCGCCAAACACAGCTTCATGCAGTGGTGCGAAGTGGTGCGAAGTGGTGCGAAATGTGAAATTTTCTGTAAGTTTTGGGAGTTTAAGTTTTTAGCAGTTGAGTGTTGGTAAGCAATAAGATCAGATTTACAGTTTGTCATCAATTGAGCAAAATCAAAACAATGAGGTGATGGGGATCAACATGATTCGAGAGTGAATGGAAGTATAAAGTGATATACATATGTATGTATGTACAAAGCTCTTTGGCGGTGGACTTTAAGGATCAGCAGAGGAGGTCCTATCCTGACCCTGGAAGAAATCCGATTTGAATCTTTTCTAAACGTGAGTATAATACAGACTTCCACTTACTTACTAACCCCATACATATAAAACAGACTCATTACCCCAGCGACGACAGGGACGACGGTGATGGTGATGGTGGCGATGATGATGATGATGATGATGATGATGATGATGATATAATGATGATGGCGATGATGCCAGCCAAGAGCAATGGCTCTCGGTGCTGACTCTGGTTCTGTTTTTATTCCAGGCAGAGAAAAACTTATTACCGAGTAGGAACAGATCGCGAGCAAACCGAATGAATGGAAAATTGTGGGAACAATGGGGCGCAGAGCGTGAGAAATTGCTACCGCCAACGCGTCCATTTCTGGTGGTGATTCGTAGGTAGAGCAGGTCTGGGATTGTTTAGCACATAATGCCGCCATTAAGGCCGCAGCGGCCCCAGTCTCCCAAGCTATTCACCGAGAAACTCAGCTCCACACGCCGTGTAACATGCATACAAGTATGTATTGTCTGCATTCTCAAAAAGTTGCGCAGATCTTCCGCCAAATCGCCGTATTTAAGTTGACTAAGTTTCATTTTCACCCGCTGCATATTCCGCTTGGCAATTGTCTCCCATTCCATTGTAAGAATAAGCGTATGTGAGAAATTTTCCTTGGCTAAGCCTCACCTCATGCAGCTCTTCTTACCGAGTTCAAGGCGAGACTTTTGTCGTGCCCGCGTGCGGTTCAATGTCTCTCGATCCTCAGTGCGTGACTCGGCACTGCAAGCACCATTCCTGTCCCAGTCGATGGTTAATCAGCGGAAAAGCATGGCAATCATGCAACCCGAGGGGTAATTATACCTACATACATGTATGTACATAGTTGAAGGACTTAACCATTCCGCGACTAAGGCAACGTCACTGCAAATTCACCAACATGGATTGAAATGATTTGATTTGTACATTAGAGTGGAAAGAACCATATCCGACCGACAAATACTTTTTGCACGTAAATTGTTTAGAATTCGCGATACATCAACTTTTTTTTGGTTGTTTTTTTTGTTCTTGAGCATAAAATTAAAATTTTTGTAATTTATTTTTGCTCTGCTTATAGAGAAAAACGAATCTTTAAAATCTTCTGAAAAAATAACCATTTACAACCACCAGTTAATTTTTGCACCTAAATTCTTTGTAATTCACGGTCTACCAACAATTTTTTTTATTTTTAGTATAGACTATCCCAAATTTTGCCTAACTTGACCAAAAGCGAATATTTTGACTTCGATGCCTCGATAGATTCACATATGTATGTATGTATGCATGTACGTACATGTATGTATGTAGAAGTATTTACACTTATGTACATGTTTTTGTGTACATACGTATGTATGTATTTATGTATAGCTAGCAGCTAGACGATGAGGCCATTTCCGAAACATCTCAGTTTTGGCGCACTCCAAACCAGCTAAGTGGAAAGGGCCCACGTGAAACGAGATCATTAAGCGAGTTTCCACGAAATGGGAGCCATAAAAGCCTTTAAGTACAAAATTTCGCTTTAAAAATTGTCATTATAAGGGAGTCGCTTACAACACGACCGAACCGACACCGACCCAAACCCAAGCTGAACCCTACCGACCTTGAGCCGAATGAACACATTTATTCCTAGCATTGTTTCTTTCCTCTTCATATTCTATGTACCACTTGTACCACTTCCACCTAACTGACTTTCAATTTTTAGCTAGAAGATGAGAGAGAGAAGGAGAGAAGGAGTGAAGGAGAGAGAGAGAGAGAGAGAGTATGTGTGAATGAAAGGGTGAAAGAAAGACTAGCTTCGAGGTACCCTTGGCGATCGAACGTTCTATCTATAGTCATAGGGTCTAAGGCAGCTAAATGATATAGTGTCCGTTTTATATACTGCTTTCAGTCAAATATAAGGATGGTACAATCATAGACTAATTTGCGTAAAAACAGACATATGTACATAAAATACATACATACGTATACCGACTCAGCTAGTCATCCTGAATGTATCTACGTTTTGGGTTCGAAAATACTTCCGTCTGTGAGTTAAAACCACCTGGTTCAAACAATAAGACCCTCTGCAAGCGTATAAAAACTAACGAAACTATTTCCAATGTGGATTTGCCGTGTGGCTAGCTGGCATGTAACTCAATTTGTAACTGCAAAGAGTCGCCCTTCGTTGTAAACCGGAAAAGTCGTCGTGTTTACCTGATGGCCGTATCTCTTTCATGGTCTGAGTCTCATCGCTCGCTACAGGTTTCCTGGTAAGTTGCACTCACTATAAGTTAGACAAAGATAGACAGACACAAGATCGACACAAGATCTTACAAGTGGCTCGATCTGCGCATCTACCTCACTCACAATTGTCAGCAGAATGCAAATCGCTCACCCAAGTTAAAGTAAAACTACAGCCTATTTCTAAAATGTCCTTGCTGTCCATTAGAATGTGTACAGGAGCGAATACAAATGATGCATATATACATATTATTTTGTTTTATTATTAATATAATAATCTTATTTTAACATCCATATCGACATTGATCCTCGCCCCATACATACATACATACAAACATATGTACATACATATGTACCTACAAAGTACATTAAATTTGTGTAATACGTTGTGAAATTTTGACTTTGTTTCCGGTTGCCGGTTGACGGTGTCGGTGCATTTGTAAGATGCTAATTTTTATTGTTTTGGATCGATAAAGTTTGAATAAAGTCTTCATCTTTTTCAATCAATTTTCAACCGTCAATAATTCTGAAAATGCTTTTGCTTTTGGTGTGGCGGTTGCCGTGACATGTGCGACTAGTTGACGTTGGTACGATCTCCTATGGGTCGGCTAGGGCTCGTCGGATGGGGTGTCGATTCTAGCTACTCACATACCTGAGATAGGTGTTTCAAGTCAAGTCTAGGTGTTCACATGTATTGCCGCTGGGATGTCAGATGCTAAAAACTCCAACTTACCCACCCCACGATGTTTAAACTGATACATTATCGTGTTAACCCTTTCTCTTTTATATGCTCCTCTCCTAATATCCTGCTATAATTTGTTTACTTTAATTTAATCTCAAGTAAACTTCATAGAACAAACAAAAAATGGGTATACATAAATATGTATGTACATACATACATATGAACTTATCCATAAAATACAAACATAAATGATTTAACATGTTCATGGACTTAGTTATAATTTATTAATACGAGGAAATTCGTAGGAAATCATACATATAGTTACCTATGTACATACAGTTGTGTTCAATGAAATAGTAGTGCCGCACCTCATCA